CACAAGCTGGGGAACTTGTTGGGTTTGATTATCGATGTAAAAAAGATGTAAAGAGCTGGGGCTCTTTAGCCTGGAGAAGAGAAGGCTGAGGGGAGACCTTATTAATGCTGACAAGTGCCTAAAGGGTGGGTCAATCGAAGGAGGATGGAGCCGGACTCTTCAGTGGTTTCCAGTGATAGGAGGAGGGGCAACAGGCACAAGCTGGAACATGGGAAGTTCCACTCAAATATAAGGAAAAACTTCTTTACGGTGAGGGTGACAGCACTGGGACAGGCTGCCCAGGGAGGTCGTGGAGTCCCCTTCTCTGGAGATCTTAAGACCCGCCTGGATGCAGTCCTGAGTGATGTGCTCTAGGCAACCCTGCTTTAGCAGAGGAGTTGGACTAGATGATCTCTAGAGGTCCCTGACAATTCCATGATTCCATTAAAAAATCCAGTAAAATTGGACTGCTAAACCTAAGTTTAGCGAAATACACACAATTGTATTAGCAAGACTGCATTGAGTGAGGGGAAACCACACAGTTTAATTCCATTTCTTCTTTTGTCTTCTTTAGGCACCGAGGACTGCGAGGAGAAGCTGCTCTGCAACCCCCACTTTTACACTAAGCACGCGTCCAGGTTTGAACGGCATCGCTAGCTTCAGGAGGAGAAACATGCCCTGTCACATCAGCTGAGGAGCATTGCTGCTTTGGGAAGAGCATGACTGCACCATGAGTGCCACGAGCAATTTTCATTGCTGTCACAACAACAGGTTGTGCACTTGCCACATTCAGCTTTACCAGATCAAGTGTTCCTTCCATCTACTGTCCAGTCATTAAAAACATGGTACTCCAGTCATCATTAAAGAACTGCCTTCAGCTATCCTGCATCCTTAGGACTCCAAAAGCTGGCTTCAGAAGCACAACAAGTGGAAGCCTCATTATCCAGTCTACTTCTAATGATGTTTACCAAAATCTAGCTGTGGAAGACTGGATCCATGACCACATGAATTTAGAGAACCGACAGGTCCTTTTCCTCTGGAGAAATTCCCCTGCTGTGGTAATAGGGAGACATCAGAATCCCTGGCAGGAATGCAACCTCAGGCTACTGCGGCAAAAAAATATAAAACTGGCCAGGAGAAGAAGTGGAGGAGGGACAGTTTACCATGACTTAGGCAATATCAATTTGACTTTCTTTACATCCAGAAAAAAATACGAACGAATGGAAAACCTGAAACTGGTTGTGAAGGCACTGAAAGCCTTGCGCCCTGAGTTAGATGTGCGTGTCACTGACAGATATGACATCTTGCTAGATAGACATTACAAAATCTCAGGTACTGCTGCAAAGCTGGGACGGACAAGTGCTTATCACCACTGTACCTTACTCTGTAACGCAGATAAGTTTGTTTTATCTTCTGTGCTAAAAAGTCCTTACAAAGGGATAAAAAGCAATGCCACTCCTAGTGTGCCTGCCTCAGTGAAAAATCTCTTTGAAGAGGATCCTAGTTTAACTTCTGAGATGCTCCTGGATGCCATTGCTGAAGAATATGCTACACAACACCAAACAGATCGTCACATCACCTTAATAAATCCAGCTGATGAGACTGTGCTTCCCGGAATTAATAATAAAACTAAAGAACTACAAACCTGGGAATGGGTGTATGGAAAGACACCCAAGTTCAGCGTTAGCACCTGTTTTAACATGGTCTATAAAGATTCTGTTCTTGATGTGAAAGTAGATATGGATGTAAAGCATGGAAGGATTGAAGTCTGTAACATTGATCTGCCAGAGCAGTGGCTGCCACCAGCACTGTCCAGCGAACTGGTGAAGAGCCTTACTGGCAGTAAGTTTTGCCCAAATGAAATCACTACGCTCGTGACAACATTACTAAGAGTGTGTCCACAAGATGAGGAGTTGCAGAGCAGGTGGAATCTGCTATGTGAGAATATGATAATGTTAATGTGACTTGCATTTTGAAAATGTAAGTAGAACTTCTGCTGAACTTCAATTTATTGAAGACAAAATTAAAACATTAATTTCCACGAGCTGAATTTTTCTCTTATTAGTCATGTAAGGACGTAAGCCACTGCAATAGGCTGCAGCCCTGTGTCACTCCATACTGACAGACATCATTGCTGCTTACACCAGGGAAAATGGTGGAGACCCCCCAAACTGGCTCTGTAGCAGAGAAGGTACAAATGGCTGATGCATGGGATGGGGCAGATGGAAAAGTGCCGCTGTGCTGCTGCACTGCATCCCCTGGCCTGCACCCCTCTCCTTGCAGGTAGTAGCTTAAAGGCCACATCTGATCCCTGGAGCTCTGTGGAGAGGGATGTCCCCTGGTTTCTGATTGAAAGCCCTTTCTTGCAGAGTGCTGGTGACCCTCAGTCTCCACTGTACAAGCACGGTAGTAACCTAAGCTCACCACTGTACAGTGAATCAGTCCAGCAGTTCCACCCTGGATAAGGGCTTTTTTCTGTGGAAATGCAAAAGCTGAGCAAGGATTAGGAAATTCAGTGTGGGGGCTTATGTGATGAAGGCAGGAAAGGCTAACTGGGACAGAAGCTGTAAGTGCCTCCTTTGTACCTGCACTGCCTGGCACAAAGCTGGGAGTTGCTGCTGCCATAGGTACTGGTACCTAAGCTAAAAGTGGGAATAATTCTAAGTTAGGAAATACACTTACAAATACAGATGGGAAAAAAGGTTCCTTATGTTACCACCTAGTAGAAAATTTGCTAATGAAATGCAATAGTGAACCGAAAATGACTGTTTTCATGTTAAATAAAAATAATAGCTCAATATAAAGCAACTTTATGAAAGAAAGGCTGAAGATTTCACTGTTGTTGCCCAATAAGCAGAATGCAATTTTGATCAGGTCAGAACAGAAGCAGTTCATTGCAATAGGAGAGAACCCTGTGCAGCAGTGACAGACTCCACTGATGTGAAGTCTGCACAAACGAGGCAGTTACAGAGTTTATATACCTTTATGTTATACAACTCTTCACCCAACTGCCCTTGAGCAGTAGTTAGTTAAATTGGAAGTGGGAGGTTCATTGAGCAAAAAAGCTGTAAATTCACCCTGTCGAGGGGCAAGCACATCAAGCTGAATTCCACTGAGGGCACAATAAGTCTTTTCCCAGAAGGTTAACTGGGGTGGTGGGACTTCAAAGGAAAGCATAGTATGCGGAAATGAGGTGGATAGTTACAGACAAAGGGCTTCTTACCAGATGATATATGGGTTGTCCTGAAATACCAACAGTGTTTACTACTTCTGAAGATAAGGGAACTGCAGGAAAACCAGAGGGATATACAGTGGATCAAGAAATGCCTGTATCAATTAGGCAAGCAGCAATCTTGCCATTAATAGGGCAAGATAAATAAGGACCAGTCTGCCCTACAGAAAGTAAGGGAGCAATGATGTCTGTCCTTAGGGCTGTCCTAATCATATTTCTGAGGCTGTGGCATGAAGGACGAGTGAAGTGGAAAGTTAGGGCAACTGAACCCTGCTGGACTTAAAAGACTTACGATTAGGTCTGTAAGGACATTCTGATTTCCAATGTCCTTGTCCACACAGACAACCCTCAGCTGAAGTTCCAGTAGGGATTTCAAAAGGTCACTTACTTTTCTGAGGAACACCAAGGGTGTTTCGGCAGGGATCAGTCTGTGGTCCTCCCAGGAAAAGCAGGACACGTGAATCCATGCCACGGTACCAAATTCTGTCACAGAATAACTGGAATGCAATTTTGATCAGGTGAAAACAGCAGCAGTTTATTGCTATAGGAGAGCGTACAGAGCAGCCGAGAAACAGCCTTTGGTTATAGGAACTCTGCCCAAGTCAGACAGTTAAAAAGTTTAGATTCTGTTAGGTTATAAAACTCATTCTTCACCAAACTCTCAGATAAGCAGCAACTGAAATTCTTCAAATAAGGAGGCAATAGACAGATTAGGAAGCCCTAGGCAGCGTATCCTTTTATGAATACTTCAGTCCTTTGCTAATTAAATCATGCAGACAAGACTGTTAGCTGCAAATATTTCTTACCACGTGAGGCCTGCAAAGGCCTATGGGGTGTTACTATGTTATTTGCACACTGTCTTCTTCAAAAGATGGGACTCAGTAGGAGCAAATGACATGGCAGAAGCCACCTACCTTTAGCTAAGGCGAGCCGTCAATGTGGGTGAATGCAGCCCTTGGCCAGGGCAGGCAGTCACACTGCAGGACTGGACGACACTCAGCTGGCTCCAGCAGGGAAGGTGGCTTCAGCTCATCTCCACAGGTGACACCAGGAGGGACCGTGGTGGCTGCATAATCCAGGTGATGATCTGACTACATAACTGTGAGTGGCAGCCCAGAAGAACGTGGCCTAGAGTCAGTAAAACGATTGTGGAACCGTACTCTCGGATTTCTCTGATAATTACTATTTTTTTTTCCATTCATTGATGCCCATTCCTCATCATACGTCGTGCTCCTACTGACAGAGAAAGGAACTATCCAGAGATAAAGCGTTTAGAGGTAAAAATTGCAGGGCAGTGCCAACTGGTATGCCACTAAAGGCTTACTTATACATATACGTACAGATACTGCATATCCATGGGATCCACAAGGAAATCTGTAGCCTTAGCTAGTGAATTACATTCTAATTAGAAAACAGAGAAAAAGTTGTAGCAACGTACAGGCAAAAGAAGGAAGACCATGCTTGCCTCTTGTGGTACTTGTAGAAGACCACATCACAGGGGGTTACTGCTAGAACAGAGAGGCACATTGTATTACAGGATGCAGAAAGCATAAACATTTGTATTTACTTTCCAGTGAAGTACTAAAATTTAAAGTTGATCTAAAATATTTAAGGTGGCTTTTTATTTTGCCCCTGTATGTTTGAAAGTGCTGGACTAGGTTTAGGAAGCTTCTTGTATTTACACCAAACCTTCTCCCAAACATGGCTGATCTATAAGGCATTACCCAGCTTCCTTGAATTACCCCATGTAGCGCAGATAAGAATCCAAACAGATGACTAAAACCACAAATAATAAAAAATAACCTTTATTTCCATTAAAAATAGGCATATATTATACACAACTGAATAAAATTGACAACAGTGACTAGAAACCTAGTATCCCAGCAACAAGCCAGGGAGCTTCCTGGAATGTTTGTGGGGACCGACTGGTAATGTACGGCTTCTGTGGCACATTATGTTACTCTTTTTGCTGATGTAACACCGAAAAGCTGGGACATTACAATGCAAAAGGTAAAGAATGCAGACCACTGGCAAACCGTGGCCCACAGAACAAGGCAAAGATCAGCTCTGTTTCTTCTTGATAGCCGTGGAATAGTTTTGTTGCATTAGAGGCAAGAGTAATGGAATAGCAGCACTAGGTGACAGAAGGTGAAAAAAGAATAAAGCAAATTAAAAAAAAAATGAAAATAATGGAATACAGCACCTACAAGGAAAAAGAAACATAGGAGAGGAAGTTCTAGCAATGACCATGCTACTAGAATATGGAGGTGTATTGTATTAGAAGATGCAGAAAGCATAAGGCACCTATCAGTCCTGAGGTTGAAAAGAATTTGATGGCACCTGCAAAAGAGTCCCTGTCTGTTCTTTATACCAGAATATACAATTTTGCTGGATTCTTGCTGATGATCAAGAACTTTTGTATAAGAAGAAAAAGCAGCAGCAGGTCACGTGATACTTTCTGGTTCCCAAAGAATGAAAGAAAGACAGTAAGAGACTTTGTCCTTTTTCCAATTAGCATATTCCTTAGAATCATTATCAACAAGAAAGTTTCAGGGTATCCTACTTCTGCAAGAATTTAAAAATAAATTATTTTTTTAGGGGACTATCTTAGTAGCAGGGAAATAGCTTACTGCAGTTGAGACTGGCATGACTAGCTGAAAGTACATTAAACTTGCAAGTCAGGGAAGAAGATTGGGAGAGGATCATACAACCTTTCCACACCTAATGCAAAGGGTGGAAATCAGGTATGTGACCATACATCATGGAATAAAGGAATATTTAGGAATGACCGGGAAAATAACACAGCTGTTTGCATCTTTTCCAGCCCAAAATCCATCATGCAGGGACACATAAGATGATCCTGAAATGTCTGTATACTGAAGACTACAATATTTATATGCAAGGAGCTTGGAAAATGGAATGTTAGATTTGGGGTTACTAATAAAGTCTGTGAAATCAGGTATTATGGAATTGACCAAAACACAGCAGAATAGTGTTTTGTTATTCTAACACTCATGATTAGAATACAGGAATTAAAGGAAGTAAATAAGGCTGCTTATAAAAAAGAACATGTGGCAGCCCAGCCTCAAATGTTTGTGAGGTGGTCAATTAAAGATATAAAACCAAAAATTCGCTCAGGATAAAATTAATAGTGAAAATAGAAATGACAATAAAGAGGCCTTTGAGAGACAGCATTGAGGGTCTGTTATGAAATCAAGGTCAAATTTAGACATGGATGGTACCAATTAAGATTCCAGGAGAAGTAAAATGGACGAGTTGTACAGCTGTGTTTTCTCAGAGTGAAAAGTCTCAAATATTCTTAAACCTATAGATTATAAAAACCTGTGCTGGACTAAGTACTTAGAAGAGTTGCTTCTGAGGGTGGACAGTTGGGCTCAAGCAGCATCTTCCAGTCTTACATTTTTATGCTTATAAAAACACTCATTAAAAGCAGTCATCTCCGATCACATTTTCTTTGTATGTTTAGAATGAAAGACATCCACTGTTGTCTCATGACAAGGTCGCAAGTCAAAGTCACAGTATCCAATGCTAAAACGACCCTGCAGAAATTAACAGGATTGACATGGTGAAAACAGAATGAGCTCTTCTACAGTGTAAGTTGATTAAAGAGGTCAAAGCATTCTTACCTCTGGTTTCTTAAAATAATCAAGACCTCTTCCAATTTTAATCATCCATCCATTGTTGAATCTGTTTTAAAAATTCACAAATTTGAATACTATGAGTACACTGAATAAAAAAAATAGTTAGATCCACATGATGCACAAGCTTCTTGTTTCAATCACAACTATTTCCTAGTGTAGCTGATAACCTGTATGAACCATGGAAGGCACTGTTCTGTATAAACAGACATCTACTATTATGTTCAGTCTGAACACACGGAACTATGGAGGGCTGATTTTACCCAGTGAGGGGCCACTGTCTTGCACTTTGTTAACCACAAAGGTAATTAACAAATTTTCTCAAAAGTTAGGGTTAAGTAGTTTGACTTAAGTAACTGGCATTCACTGATTGTTTATATTACCCACCTAATTTCTCGATCATGTATGGAAGACGAAAATACAATATCCAGTGTTACTCCATAATTCGTCAATGATTGTTGTATTTCTTCCAAGCCACTTATCTGCTGGTTCCTCCCACTACCCTGTTAAAAGTAAAAATAACATGGGGGCATAGGGGGTTTTAACCATATATTCTACTTCTGGTCACCTCTTGCTAAATTTACCATCAAAACATTTTTAGTAATAACTTAAACGAACAAAAAGTAACTTGGATAAAGGCAGACTCACAGTCTCAAAGACAGGATAAAAAGCAGACAGATTACAGGTACACTTGCTAAGGGATATGGAGAAGGAGCCCACTCTCAGCCCTTTGAAACTACATATGAATTGCTATTTGAGCCAAAATGAATGCAGTGATAGTTTCAGAAGGTTTAGCTCATCAAAGCCTCTAAAATGACAACTATATACAGCTGTCAGAAGAGAAAAAAAATCCGTATCTCAATAGAGGCTTTGGTTCTGATGATATTTTCCACAACAAAACTTTCACAAAAATATCTTTTCCATTTAAGATTCTGCTTACCAAGAATTTGTTAGAGTTATCAAAAACCTCTGAACTTACAAAGTAACTTACGTTCAACTATAACATTTTTATTTTAATCTGTGTTTTCTGATGAAGGCATCAGAGCTTCAGTATACCAAGTACTGGTAAGTAAGAACAAATCTATATTTAAAAATAAATATATATATATATATAAAAATTTGCATGTGGTATCACCTGAGTACGGGGAAATGGAAACTAAAATCTAGACACTTACTTCATCAAAGGAAGTGAGGAGGTGGATTGTTTTCACTTTGCACGGCCCCTTAACTAGCATCTCGCAGAATCGTAGGAAGTTATACAACTGTAAAAGTTTTATTTGATTTAGTAACCTAGAATTTCTTTTTTAGCAGTTACATCTGCGTCAGCTACGCTGAGTATCTACTTGCCTGGTGAATGTGCCTGATGTAGGGGTCTTCCACCCAAACTTCAGACACAACCTCAGTGAGGTACTCTTGGAAAAGCTTTTCGTAACTGAAACCTGTAGCATTTTCCTCTATCCTGATCTGCTTATGGTATTCGCCATCTAGAAAAGGAAAGAGTCTGGCTTTTTTAGTGAAGATCACGACAGGATTCCTGCGTTAGCCACCCCCGCCCGTGAATTCTTCACGCGACAACAGGCCCTTAAATGCAGCAGCTCCATACCTTGTTTCTCTTTTTCAATGTGCTTTTTAATATCTTCAGCTCTGGTCATGTACTCGCTTATTTTCTGCCGGAAACGCTGCTTTTTCGCCTCATCTTTCGTGGCTGTGAATCAAAAGGGCAGGGGCCGGTTCTTCGGGGTCGGGGGGGTGGGGAGCTGAGCCCTGCCTGGCCCCCGGTCTCCCGGGGGGGACACACACCACCAGCTCTCCTCTCCCTCCCCCTGAGGCAAGGAGGGACCGGGGCCGGCCCCTCGGCGCCAAACACGGCTCTTTTCCCCTCCAAACCATCCCCGGCTGGCGGCCCCCCCATAGAGCCGAGAGGGTGTTTAATAACCGACCGCCTCAACGGCTCCCAAACCCCCCCCCCCTCGCCCGGCAGCCGCCCGGGTACCTTTCACCACCTGCAGCAGGAGGTCGATGCCCTCCTGGTAACACACCAGCGACTCCTGGAACCGAGACGCCAGGTCCAGCTCCACCGCCCGCTTCACCGTGTCCGCCCCGGCCCGCTCCAGCGCGGCGGTGCCATCGCCCCCCGCCCGCGACATGGGCGCCGCGAACGGGGGGGTGAGGGAGGGGGAACGGGGACGGGGGTAGAAACAGAAGCTGAGGAGGAGGAGGAGGAGGAGGAGGGAAAGGGGTTGTGTCTCACTCTTGTCCTTCCCCCGGCGCGGAACTGAAGTGTTGTGGTGGTGGTGCCCGGCCGGCAGGCTGCGCACCGAAATGGCGGCCACGGCGGGCCCAGCCGCCGCTTGGAAGGTACTGGCTGCGACGGGGGGGTCCTCCCGGGGTGAAGCGGTGAGGGACGGTGGAGAACGGCACTGCCGGCACCCCGTAGCCGCCGCTGAGAGGGGGAAGGGGAGAGCGGGGCCGTTACCGGGGGGAGCGAGCTTCGCCCCGCTTCGGGCGCCATCGCCGCTGGGCCCAGCCGGTGCCTCCCCTGAGAGGGGGGCGAGGAGCCTGTGGGCGCCCGGTGTCACAGAATGGTTGAACGGTTAGAGTTGGAAGGGACTTCAAAGATCGTTTATTCCACCCCCTTGCCACGGCCAGGGACACCTCCCACTAGAGCAGGTTGCTCAAAGGCCCATCCAGCCTGGCCTTGAACACTTCCAGGGATGGGGCATCCACAGCTTCCCTGGGCAACCTGTTCCAGTGCCTCACCACCCTCACAGGAAAGGATTTCTTCCTGATATCTAATCTAAATTTCCCCTCTTTGCATGTGCAAAACAGAACTGTCTGTTCTTCAGCTGCTGAGAGGTATAGTAAACACGGGATGTGTGCTCACCCGGTCTGAGTTTGGGTGGCTGTGTAATCTTGTTTTCAAGTCTGAAGAGCTATAAGGAAAATCCTGACAAGTGATGATGTCCTGCTCTCTTTGCAGATGCTGGGGAAGAGGATGGAGGGAATGGCGTCCGCGGTGTGGGTTCGTTGTCTGTTTACCAGGTCAAGAATTCCAGACTCGGTATGTGCTCCAGTAGTTGAGAAACCGTAAAATAGGTATTAGCCTGCTTAATTCTGTGCTCTCTGTGGTATGACAGATTTCTAGAGACTGTGAGATGAGCACGGTGTGTGCGCTGGGTGCAGAACTGGCTGAAAGTCAGGGCCCAAAGGGTTGTAGTGAATGGGGCTACATCTGGACTGGTCACCAGCAGTGTTCTTCAGGGCTCAATCTGTTCAATATCTTTATCAGTGATCTGGATGCAGGAGTTGAATGCACTATTAGCAAGTTTGCTGATAGCAAACTGGGAGGTGCTGTCGACTCTCAAGGAACAAGAGGCTTTGCAGAGGGATCTAGACAGATTGGAACATTGGGCAGTCATTAATGGCATGAGATTTAACAAGAACAAGTGCCAGATTCTGCACCTAGGACAGAGTAGCACCGGGCACACATATAAACTGGGAGAGGAGTGGCTGGAGATCAGCCCTGGAGAAAGGGATCTGGAGGTGTTGGTCGCGAGCAGGCTCAAGAGGAGTCAGCAGTGTGCCCTGGCAGCCAAGAGGGCAAACCACATCCTGGGGTGCATCAAACCCAGCATAACCAGCTGCTCAAAAGAGGTGATTATCCCTCTGTATTCAGCATTGGTGCGGCCTCACCTCGAGTGCTGTGTGCTGTTCTGAGTGCATCCAGAGGAGAGCACCAATGCTGGTGAAAGGGCTGGAAGGAATGACCTTTGAGGAGCAACTAAGGACTCTGGACTTGTCTGTTTTGGAGAGGAGGCGGCTGTGGGGGGACCTCATTGCTCTCTACAGCTTTCTGAGGAGGGGAAGTGGAGAGGGAAGTGCAGAGCTCTTCACCCTGGTGAAGACAGGATGCGTGAGGTGCACCATGGCAGGTTTAGACCAGACATTAGGAGCATCTCTTTACTGCGGGGGTAGTGAAACACTGGGACAGGCTTCCTAGAGAGGTGGTCAATACTCCAAGCCTGTCTGTTTAAGAGGCATTTGCACAATGCCATTAACAACACACTTTAACTTTTGGTCAGCTGTGAATTGGTCAGGCAGTTGGACTAGGTCACCATTGTAGGTCCCTTGTACTGAAATATTCTATGGAATAAATAACTAAAATGAAAGAGATGGGAAGTTTGACTTACACTGTATCCTTTTGCAAGATACCACCTAGTGTTGTTTGACTCTTTTCCTTAAAAATCATTCTTAAAGCCTGTGGAAAAACTTACTATTCAGAGGCTAAGCAGAGGTTCTTCAATGAGATGCATGTGAATTAAATGCTGTGCTGGTATAGTATTGTCCGTGCATTTCTATGCAGTTGTATGGCCAAACTCAAGAGTGAAAACCATTATAAAAATAGGTTTGATTTAATGTTATGAAAGCTAAATTTGAGTTCACTTGTTGGTGCTTTGACCTTCTGAAAAGAAAACTAGTTAAACATGTAAGAATTTTTACCAAAGTTGAAGTATGTGATTTTTGTGAACTTCTTATTCTAGGTATTTCAGCCACGGCCTGGAGATCATGAAAAGTACGGAGGTGACCCTGATCAGCCCCACAAAATCCACGTTGTTACTAGAATAAAAAGTGTAGTTGGTCGCCCGTATTGGGAAAAAAAGATAATACGTGATCTTGGACTGGTTAAAGTATGATTGTTGTTCTTTATATTTATTGTGTATATCAGAAATGTAGAAACATGGGGTAGAATTAAGGTGGTGGCTTTTTTTTTAAGGATCTCAATTTTGCAGTCACAAGATTTGGGTTGCTTTACAGCTGCTACATATATAATTGAGAAATCGATGATGTGTTTAAGAGCAGAGAGGAATATTAATGGCAAATGCTCATTTAGTGGGAATTCAAAATATCACTGTATGGTATTGCTATGCATGCCTGAGGAGAACTTTACCTTGAGAATTCTGCTAAAATAATGAAAATAGATTTGTAAGTTCATTGAATTCAGTATTCTCTGTAGGTCATATTATTCAGATATTGCAGGTAGGCAAATAAGACTCATTTATTAATGAAAAGGCTTCCAGATCCAAAAGGGATGATACATTTTCAAAGGGATTTTTAAGAGTTTGTGTCAAAGATGTGTTTGTCCAAATTTTTTAGGCCAACTGCACATTGTACAAGAATTTGTATAGTAAGTGATACATTACAGAGAAACAATGTTTGCTTGATCAATTTAAGATCTAATTGAAGCAAGCAGTCTTACCCCTAAACATCTATACATATACATATATTTACATCTTTTTTTTTTAAAGTTGGAAGAAATTCAAATATATTGATAATGTAATGGGAATAAAGCTGAAATTGTCATTTTACCGTAATCAATAGTTTGATCAAGTTTTGACTTTTGTATTTTTATGTATGTTCTTGATGCAGAAGTTACTTCTCTAAATCTTATATTTGCAAATCCAGCTTAGATTTTTACAGATAGTGTGAAAAATTCAGTGAACAGAGATTTAGTGTTTGGCAATGCATTTGTAACACCTATTCTGTCCTTTATATAGGCACATCAGCCAAGACTGCACAAAAATATCCCTTCTGTGAATTCCAAACTGAAAGTTGTTAAACATCTGATAAGGTTTGTTAACTATTTGTTTCATTTGGAACACTTAACATTACTCTCTTCTAGTCATAGGACTTGACTAAGCAAACTCTTTTGCCTGTAGAATACAGCCACTGAAGCTACCTTATGGGTTGCCAACAGAAGAGGAACTGTCAGACACCTTTCTTACGAGCAAAGGAGAGCTTGTCATTAAACGGCATCTGAAACCTGTGGAGCAGAAAGAAATCGGATCGTAAGGTGTGCTGGTTGGATTTATATTTTATGAAATAAATATTTTGACTCCGGAGTTAAGAGTTTGTACATGAAATGTAAGTTTCACTCTTTTCCAGTGTGGTATGAGTGACGGATGTGACACTGATGCTTAAAGAAGGATTACATGTGTACAGGTGGAAAATTCAGTGTTAGTAATGTTTGCCTGAAATATTAAATGACTGATAGGCTTTCTGTCATTGTGTTTTAATTTAGTAGCTAGATCACTGCAGTTCATGGCTAGCTAATAGAGAACTTTAAAACAATGTCAAATAAGCAGAGAAGTAAGTAGAATAGATGGAACTAATGATGGTGAGGACATTTCCCAGCTAACAGTAAAGGCTTGCAGTGGTGGTGCGTGACTTCGCCTTTACTGCACAAAGGAAGGAACTGGAATTTAAAAGCCCTCTCTTTACCAGTTATGTGAGAATCAACTGTCCACCGAGGGTGTCATTTGATTGAGGCAGGCTTTTGGGGGTGGCTTACCTTGGTCATCCAGATCTCACCCTTGTTCCTTAGAATTGAGGCAGGCTTTTGGGGGTGGCTTACCTTGGTCATCCAGATCTCACCCTTGTTCCTTAGAAAACACTGTCATCTCGCCTCCTCTGTAGCTTAAAAAGTACCTGAACTCCCCATTTGGGAGTTACAGGAGGAGTGATTCACACCTGGGTACGTTGTATAATTAGTCTTTCAGGGAACACATTATCTCACATCATACATGTTTCTTGATCCTCAGTGTTTAATAGTAATAGTCTAAGAGCTGCAGTCTGTGTGAAAGCTGCAGCTTTTCCTCTTCTAAAATTGCAAACTTCAGAAATTGGGAGACCCTAGGCCATACCTCCTTGATGCAAGTTAGTAATTATGGGCTGCAAGCTTATAAAATAACACCTTTTACTGAAAGATCTTGAATGGTACTGTGTGCCTATTTTTATTTATGGTTTTAAGAATTATCCTGCTGTTAGGAAGTTAGGAAGCTGCTGCTGTATCAAATGATAAAGTAGTTTTCATTCCAGAGAGCATAAACTCGATAGTTCACTGCACTGTGAGCCTCTCCCACACTAGACACGCTGCAGAGGAGTTAATCTTAATGACTGCATGTTGTGAGAAGATCAGAGGGATGCAGTCACTGGAAATGAATGTTTATCCCTTCTGCATGCGTCCAGAGAAAACACCAGTAGGAGTTCAAAGGAATAAATGTATCAGTAGAGGGACATAAAAGCTGGAGGCACAATGTGCAGAAGAAAAGGAAGGACAGGCTGTGGCATTGAAGAGTGTGATGGCTCCGACGGGCAGGCTGAAAGTAGAAACACAAAATGGAGCTGAAACTCCTCAATTTCTCAACAAGCTGCAGGCTACAGTTGGAAGGACACAGAAAATA